ACAATTCGTCCAAATAGTTTCGATAGAATACGTTATAATATGTAAATATTTAAAAAAAGTAATAAGATTGAATATGGACGGCTACAAAGGTAGAGGAAGACCAAAGAAATTATGGATGGAATGTGTGAAAGAGGATATACGTAAGAAGGGGGTGGATTCAGATATGACAGCTGATAGAGATCTATGGGGGAGTAGCCGTATTCTGACCCTGCGTAGGGATAAGGGCAGGTTGAGATATCACTTATTTTAGCGTTTGCATGTTGCTTTATTTTTAAATCAAACAAGAAATAGAGCGTCTTACATCATTAGAACTTCAATAACTCCATCTTGTCTTTTGCGTTGTAGCCAAGATAGTTTTGAATTAACAACTCGTGTGCGGAATATTTAATTTTGCACGCTCTACTGACGAATCAAATTTGAATATGAACTGAATAATAATTGTTACCTTGTTATTAAAACAAATTCAAACAGTACGTGCGTACATTGCAAAAGTACCGCGAGACTGGATTATCTTACTTCTTACTAATATTGTAAATGTAAAAGTTTGGATGGATGGATGTTTGAACATATCTCGACAACGGCTTTATGGATCTCGCTGAAATTTGGCATACATATAGAACATAGAGAGCGTCGGTGGCTCTGGGGCTCGAATCGAAAAACACATTGGTACATGGCGGCATTCGAACCCAGGACCTGCAAATTACAAACCATGTGTTTAATTGCTAAGCCACCAACGGTTATTTATTTAACAGCATTTATTTCTTTAGACCCTAGTGTTAAGTCTGGCCAGGTTAATAAGTAATATCAAGGTATTTTAATAATATTTCTTCCTTGATATGCAATCACGAATGTCGGTATCTTTGGTTGGCGTGCTATGGTTTTGTAAAGCGAAGGGAGCCTCTTCGTACGTGATCCGAAAGTGGAATAAAAAGGTAAATTATTGCATAAAGAATTAAACTTGGTTGCGAGATTAATTTTTATTTCAGATATTGAGGGAAATCTATTACAACTAAGGGTTTTCAGTACAGATCCACTGGATTAAACTCTATTTACAAATGGGTTCATTGTGATGTATGCGAATACCATGCCAACTGTCAATTTCAAATTTGATAGCTGTTGTATGGGTGTTGGGTGTTTCATGTTTTTACATATAGAATGAAAAGGATAGCAATATTATTTGAACAGTTTTTATTTTTATTTTAAAAGTGTATAAGTTGTTATTTATCGTTTTGGTACAAAAAAGGTTGAAGCTATAGAATACTCGTTATTAGATTATTTTAAGTAAATTAAAAAAAAATGTAATTATTCGCCATGTTTGTGGTGGAGACAGATTAATTTTCTATTCTAGTGAATTATGTAAGACTTGTGATAAGACAGCTGCGCGGGTTTGGGGAAATTGCTGCGTTAATAGAATCAAGGGCGGGAGTGCGGGGAACGAATACGTTTACTGTCCCGTGGTCAGCCACGCATGAATTGTGGCCACTAAATAGGCGATATCTATATACTATTAATAAAATCAATATTACATTCAGATACAACTTTTTGTGTCATTTATTGGTTAGCTATAAAAAATCTGGGTAAAGTTTTTGTTTAACAGTTTGCCTGTCAGCAAATCCGCGTGCGACTTTGACGGGAAGATAACTAATGCATGCGGGCATTTTATAGGCTTCATTTTTTGTTGCAAGCTGATTTAGTCACGTGCGATTGCTATTAAAAATAAGATGTACTTTACGTGTTATCATAGTAAAGTCGTGGCAAAATAAATTACAATTACTAGTAAATTTAGTGGATATATTATAATATAATGCACTTTTTGAATACATCAATAATCAAGCTGATGATTAAACGCAAATATAATATTCCGATACTATATTAAATTAGGAACCAGAAGACCATCTCTCTTTATTCATAATATTAATGACGATAAATTAATGAGAAACAATTTTTAATGACATAATCTGTACCAAACAATTGGTTTTATGGCCCCACTTTGTTCTCTAAATATTTGGTCGGAGGCGACTCGTTTATTACATTTCCTCAGGCGGAGTTTCTACCTGCACAATGTAATTGCGCTCTCTTTGCCTCTGCAAATTCTCTTACACCCGCCCACATATCGAGCTCCTTTTAGTCTTGCCTTTGTTAATTTAAATGATAAAATAATTATTTCTAACATGTCTTTTTTTGTGCATCCCAAAAAGTCTCTTGGTAAATTGTTTTTTTGATTTTTTTACTTACGTTTTCGTCTGCGCTTTCATACTTTTTTGTATATACTTAAAAATGTATGCAAATAATATAGATTTTTTTATTATTAAAGATTATAAATAGTGTTCTTAAAATAAACAAATTGATATAAGTTCTTTGCAAGTTTGTACCATGTCTTTTATCTTGAAGCATGTCATAAAATACGTTTTCATTTTAAAAAGCAGCAAGCACTGTCAGATACAAGTTGAAGCTTTCCGCACATCTCAATTTAGCAAAACTACATCTCGAAATACGCAGCGGGAAATCAATTTACTCGTAGAGTAATATCTAGTCGTTTGCAATTGCGACAAGTTGTAGGTACGAGTGAGAGACGGGAACGTTCCGGTTTTTAATATTTTTGTCGGGGTCGGGACTCGCTTCTAGCTTTGAACGATGAAGGCGCAGCACGGTAATCAGGAAAATTATTTACCCATGTCTGCGGGCCTTGTCGGAAATTCTCTAGGGTTGATAATCACAAGTTTTTAGCTTATTTTTAACTCACATGAATTGTTAATTTAACAAGGGAAAGACGACTAAATGACAGAAGATACAATATAAAGACAGCAACAACAACAACAAGAAAGGGACAAGGCAGGTAGAAGATGACGATAGATTATGTAGTTAAGCATAATTAAAAACTATAATAATGGCAATTACTAAAATAAAACGTGACTAAGAAATTAAATGAGTCAAAACTCATACATTGCGAAAGTTACTAGACAGTGGCAAAACTCATTTGCATCTTTACAAAAAATTTAAATACAAAAATACATATAGAATAAAGTCATTGTTGTGACAACCCTGCATACTTTTGTAAGCAAAATGAAGAGCCAAGGGGAACATGGCTGGAGGAAACTCTGTAAATAGTCACCGCAATGCCTTCTTGCAGATTAATTTCAAGTGAGAGAGCATTGAGGGTCATTATGTTTATAGAATTACTTCTAAATAATACTACAAGATTTAAAATAACTGAATATTAAACAATAAAAGAATGAATAAGTATTAAAAAAAGGGTCTTGACAGACACGGACGGACAACAAAGTGATCCTATAAGGGTTCTGTTTTTTTCCTATGAGGTACTGAACCCTAAAAATGGCGAATTATAGTCCGTTCCGTTTCGTATTCTCTACACGATCAAACTTTATTTCTTTAAAAATTTAAACGAAATGCACATTCTTATAACGTCATGTATTGTCATCAATAAAAAACTTTCACGAAAGCTTAATAAAGGCTTAAGTGTCTTCAATTTTGATTGTCTTGATTATTATCTTACATCCATACTGTTTAAGATATTTGCGAAAATGTGAAAATAGAAATTTTCGTTATGAAAGGGCTCCACTCTCCTCTAATAGCCATTACGGTCATGAATAGAATCTTTCAAGCCTCATTTCGCTTGCCGTGCTTTCAATAGGAAATGAATAAGTCACAATTTTTGGTTGACATTACAGACTATGCAATCATTATAAAATCAAAAAAATACTATAGCAAAAAGTTCCAATTGAATTTTTGCCTGTCATTAAATTTACAAAAAAAAGTATTCGTCTTTTATCGAAAATAATATCATTTGATAAGACTAAAATAAGTTTTTCTATTTATATAAGTAGATTGTCTCCCGTAAAAGCGTTATTGTTAATATGAAATACCATATCAGTGTAAGCATGCAATTTGCTTGCTATGACGGCGCTTGTGTCTCGATTAACTTTGCATAGATTGGCTTCTCCTTTTACATAATTGAGCAATTCACGTGAAGTGCTTAACTAAGGTTAAATGAGAAAATCTATACACCTACATGTTTACTTTAAAATCTATAAATACTACACTTACTGTTATTTGAAATAGGGTACTTTTAATACCATAAATATTAAGTGAATAGCTCGCCCGAGACTCCAGACTATGTTCTATACGTATGTCAAATTTCATTGAGATCCGTTCAGCTGTTTGTAGATACCTTCAAATAAACATCCATCCATCTATACATTCGCATTTATAATATTAGTAAGATAATAGGTGTATAGCACAATTTTGCTTCAGGCTATATTTGCATGTTTTTAGTGCTATTGCAAATACGTTCAGGCAATGGTCGACACGAAGTCTGAAATTTACGTTCCTTCAAGCGTTAGATTTACTCTAGCCTTCTTGGTGTATGGGAATATCGTATAACATCGTACATCTTGTTTATTTATGTTTGCATCTTACATCATCCGTAGCCACTTCCTTATAGCTCTTTGAATACGTTTATCGGATTTCAAATTCAAATCAGACTTACCTCGAATCGCTGGATTTGATGCAAACACAAACTCCTGAGGGAAATCATAACGTCAATACAAATATATGCATAAAATTAGTTTTCTTTTCGCTGTAGATATGTCGACAGTTTCTCGTTTGAGATTCTGATAAAATATAATTTTATTATCTTATAAAAGCTGATGGATAGACGGATGGATGGATGTAGCACATAGTCTGGGAAAACACATAGGGTACTAATTACGTTATTTTTTATTCCAAACTTCTTTGTAAATAGCCCTCTGTATAACTTATTAATTTACTTAGTTATAAAACATAGCAATACAAAATTTCGCATCAAAGCCCATGTTTTAATAATTAGTTTACTGTCATGTTTAAAAATACACAGAACAAAGGGCTACAGCTAAAAAATACAGGCGCGGCAATTCATGCTTATATCTTATCTTTGCATATCTCAGCAAACAATGATAACCTAGCTATGTGTAACGCGTTTATCTATTGATAAAACCAGTACCAATACGATAGACGTAGTGTAAGGACGATTTACAAGTTCCAAAGTGTAAGTGTTGAGTGAATTAAATGCAATGGCGGGAGCAGGGAGAGGCGACGGGCAGGGACCCGCTGTGGGAAAACTCGAATCGCAAATTTATTGCATCAAGTACACTTTATTCTGCTTCAACGTCGTACTTTGGGTGGGTTGCCTTTTATTATTATTAAGGTTATAGTTTCTTTAGATAAACTAGCTGACGCCCGCGACTCTGTCTGTGCGGAATTAAAAAAAAAACTTGATTAGTAGCTTACGTGTTCTTCCAGGGTAAGTCTTTATGCCAAAGTTCGACGAGATCAATGCAGCCGTTCTGGAAATACCTTCTAGCGAACATCCATTCAAACATTTTCATTTATAACAAATTGGCTTTATTGACAAAATGTGTACCTAAAACTTACCTGTCTTGTTCATGCGCTTGCGCACGTTTCGTGACTATGCAATGCCAAAACACATGTACTAATTGTGATGTTATTCCTTATTATAATCAAGTCTCTAAGAGTCCGTTTAAAATGCGTAATACATTATTATATTCTTACAAAGTAAATTTTAAAGACAACAAATGGTAAAAAAGTGTTCATTTCTATATTAAAATTATAGAAACAAAATTTATAATCTGAAGTAGTGAATCAAAGTTGAAACAAAACTTATTAAAAAGTACAATAATGTTAGGCAATGTACTCTTTTCTAAAATCGAGAATACTAAAACGTTATAAAAGTTATAACCTTAAAAAAGTCGCAATATTACGTTTACACAAAAATAAAGGGCAGATATTAAGAACGCGTTATCAACAATTGATAAGAGCTTGGCCTGTTTTCCCAGTATAATACTGTCATAGTCTGATTCATAGAATGAAAATGAATTTACATTGAAGACTCTCTTTTCCAATCTAGTATATCCGGTTTTTTAACAATGAATAATAGCGCTTGACCAACCTAACCTTATTTTAATGTGATCGAGAGATACGTGCTTACTTATGTCTACTCCCATTAAATGGTCTTAATAATCATCTGGTTTGGTATTAGGGTAGGGGTGGTCAACTGGGCCGCGGACGAGAGCGAAAGCGTGCCCGTGGTCCCGTCCCGATGCGTTGGAGGAACAGAGGGGTTTAGTGGGTATCCCTCCGCTATGGAGGAGAATCCCACATAACTACCGCGTCCCCCCCGGGGCGCGGAGTATGCATATAGCATTCCCCTCTGAAAAAAAAGGGGTGGTCAACTGGTCTTGATTGAGCAGTCGATCAAACAATTGGTCATAACAAGGCAGAAAATACAGATACGTAAAACATAACGTAGCGGAATATGATCAGACGCTCACGCTGATATAATTAGGTATTAACGAAGAATAATTGTTAAAATAAGTTTTTGATTTATCTTTTTAAAAAATTACTAAAGTATGATTACTTTAAGATTTCAAGAAGTTTGTAATTGTTCGCAAATAATATCAACAGTAAACAGTGGATCTTTGGTTAACCACCATAATCAAGTTGACCACACTTGATACAGGGTGTACATTTAGCATATTTTTACTATAACAGTTTAAAACACAGGGTGTTGTTATTATGTACTTAGCAGCAAGTAGCATTCATTAGCCACACGTGGTGTCGGCGGTAAATCAAGTACTTAGTTCTTGCTTGCAATTTGCGCGTCGAAGCAACAGTTATTAAGCTTGCTTAATTAAGAATATTAACACCATATGCAAATTAGAGATTGGAATTGAAAACGTTATTAGAATAATTTTGCTTTTAATACTGATTGGAATTCTATTTTGTTTAACTAACTGTTATATACAGGATGATAATAATTCTCAGGGAATAAGGATTCTCTTAAATTCTGATTCTAAATAGAATTGATAATTATACAATAAATATATTTTTAGATTACAATACATAAGTTACAGCTAGGTACAATATTGATTTGAGTATTTAAAGTAATTTTTAAATTCGTGATTTCCAATTTTGAACATATGCAATTATCCCAATTAGGTTAATTACATTAAACCTAAAGTTTCAAAATAACTTAAGATTTTTTTTATAAATTTGCTTTTAATGTGAAGAGAAGAAACAATGAAATGAAAATACTTGCACAACTAGAAGACCAAATTTTACAGGAATGAAAAATAATTTACTACGTAGTCTGAAGTAGGATTTGCGATAATTAACTTTTGGCTTACAGCCAAGACAAATAGGCGTCTGGTATTATTTTTAGTTTAGAAAAGGTTTTAATCTGCAGACGATATTCGACGAAGCAAGTTATTTGACAAAAGCGAGTAAAGATAGCTATCTCTTTCTCTCTTATTTGAAGGTTTGATAGCCTTTTGTTTTTTCGTAGAAATTGATGTTTATTATAACTTAACAGTGTCTTTCTAAACAATTTATATTTCTCCGTACTTGTATGGATGAAGAAGTCGTAGACATCCATTAGCGATATATTATTTTTTAAGAAAATAGGAATCCAATTATGTTACAGTAGTAAGTAACAAAGCCGTTGAAAACTTGATTGTATTTTCTATATCTCACATTTTTTTGATAATTTTTCTTTATTTATATATTTAAACGTAGAACATACTCACAATATGTGTCAAAATTGCAATGAACAATGATTCATTATATTACAATTCTTAATAAACTATCAATAAAAATGAAGCGTATAAAATTGTATAAATAAAAATGCGTATGTAAAATGTTTGTGTGATTTTTGTTTTTCTGCTATTTTATATGTATGCTGTTGGCTTGTCTTAATAAGTAAATCTTTATATATATAATTCTTCTGTGAGTGTGTATGTCACTGAACTTCTCTCAAACGACTGGACCGATTTTGATGAAATTTTTTGCGTGTGTTCAAGGGGATCTAGGAATGGTTTAGATTCACAATTTTCATCAAATATTAACTTCATATTAATTTATTCAAATTAAAAACGTGTAGACAGGACAACGTCTGTCGGGTCCGTTGTAAATAAATAAATTCTTATGTTAACGTATTTAATTATGACTTGAAAGTAAATAACGCCGTTGAATGATTATATATTGCACACGTAAATAAATAGACACGGACTTCAAAAAACTGCAAATCGATTGTTAACATACATACCCATTTAGACGTACTCATTAAACTTATAGTAAAACTAAACCTATGAAATCATTTAGTAATCGACATCACAGGTGAGCTGGCAGGAACCTCGGATAAAGAATTAATTGACTATTCAAAGGAAGAACGCTTTGTGCCAGTATCTTTGAAACCTTGCCTAAAACTCCATTTAATAATATATTTTAGTTAATTATTCGTTTATAATATTTCATTTAATATCATAGATTTAAAACTATTATTTGGTATTATTTTTATTTTTCAGTTGTTCGGCGTGTCTATATTCGCATTATGTCTATGGATCTGCTTCGAGCCCGGTTTCAACGAATGGATGAGAATTTTGGAACTTCAGAAGTACTTCATTGGGATCTATATCATTCTTATTGCCTCGTTAGGCATAATGGTTGTAGCATTCCTTGGTTGCGGCTCCGCTCTTATGGAAAACGTCGTCCTTCTCTACGGAGTAAGTTAACTCTTTATTACATTTACTTTTTCATATTTTCATTTTAATGGAGATGTTTTTTTAATAAGACGTCGGTGGCTCAGGTGTCAAGTACTTGCCTTGCAATCTGCAGGTCCTGGGTTCGAATCCCGCCATGTACGACCATGAGTACACCATGAGTGTTTTTCGATTTCTGATTAACTTATGTACATATATCTGACATTCTTACGGTGAAGGAAAACATCGTGATGCAACCTGCACATATCCGAAAAGAAATTCAAAGAGATGTGTGAAGTCAACCAACCCATACTTGGCCAGCGTGGTTGACTAAGGCCTAATCACCCTTAACTTAGGGTAGACTCCGAGCCCTTCGATGGGGACGTATAGTGAGCTGATGATTTTTATTAATGAAATATATAAAATTAAGATCGATGTTTTCTAAGTAGCAAGGTTAGGGTTACTAAGTAAAACCCTGCTACTACTAATATCATGTTAATTTTAGTTTATAGCAACACAAATTGCGTTATTCGTCTTTGGATTGGTAGGCGCTTGCGTGGTGTTGGACTTTTCAACTTATGACTCTAGTATACAACCTCTTATCAAAGATGTCATACTAAGACTTATGAATAACCCACAACATGAAGGCAGTCGCGAAATACTAAGGATGGTGCAAGAAGGAGTAAGTTTGAAAGGCATCTTTCTTTTGCACTTATTACAAATAACTTAAGAATTTCGTAGAAATGCCGATTGCATATTTGTAAATATATTATAAGGTGGATACATCGGCATGACCTTAAAATCATTCAAATAAGGTTTTATAAGTGTTTTAAGTTTTTCAAGCGGTTTTTCTACTTTCTTTAATAATAATAATAAACAGGAAACTATATCAATGGATGCCATATCAATTACAGATTGGTTGTTGCGGTGCTGATGGTCCGATGGACTTTTTAAACTTGAACAAACCACTACCATCTGAGTGTCGTGACTCTGTGACCGGAAACGCTTATTTCCATGGTTGTGTAGACGAGCTCACCTGGTATTTAGAAGGCAAGACAGGTTGGCTAGCTGGCATTGTCCTAGCTTCTTGCATGATATGTGTGAGTACTTAAGTTTGCCTAAAACTGTAATTCTATTTTCTTATAATATAAACATTTTATTAAGAGAATGGAGAGGAGATATATACGTTAAATATCTTACGTCCATGATTTAGTAAGTCGCAAGATTCAAAGTATCGTGGGTTTCTAAGACCAAAATATCTGTATAAAACATATCTTCATCCCTGTCATTTTCATTGATAAAACAGTGATAATAACATGGTAACCCATGGTTAGTCTTTACTTTGCATTGAACTATGTTTTTACTTTTTCAGGTGGTGAATGCTGTTATGTCCCTAGTCCTTATTCAAGCGGTGAAGAAAGAAGAAGACGAGGCTATTGTTTATAAAAATTAATAGTTTTATCATACGATTATTAATAACATAGTAACTTTTATATTTTAATTATATATAAGTAACTGTAATTGTGTTTTTGAATTATACATAATTATTATTTTATTAATATCGATACAAGTTCAAAACAACTTACTACAAAACACCTTTACATAGTTATTACCATGGATGGACCGGACCTCCTTGGAGGAGTTTTTTTTGTAATTTTTGTGATTATTTTTCAATGACAACATTGTGTGCAAACGACAAATAGTTGCAGTTTATATAATTGACATAATAGGAATAACTTAGTATTAAGTTAAAATGAAGTTACCACCTTTATTGTTAGAGAGTATTTTTAGCTATTTTATTTTGTATTACAAAGTCCATTTATCTTTCATAAGTCTCGGTCATAAGTAACGAGATTTTTGTACTAAAATTTATTTTTAGGATTAAATTTCTAGTGCTACTTTCTTTTAATAAATGTTATAAAATTAATTTATCGTTTTAATATCTTAATATCTTTATATTTAATACCTTTTTATTACTAAGTTAAAAGTGACTTTTGGGATAATATCAAAATATTAATACAAGCTAATCTGAAACATTATAACTTACTAATAATTAAAATGTGAATGTTTGGATGTTTTTTGCAAGACAAGTCCAGAGCAGTTGCATGGATCTCGATGATATTTGGCATA